TTTTCTAGTACGGATCTTACTCGAACAATATTTCCAACCAGTCCATATTTTTATGTGCTGTAGGTTTCTCTTTCTCATCATGAAAAAAAGTTCTCCGACGTATTCGCTCTACCTTTGGCGTATTTTTCCTTCTCTATTATGAGTTTTCCATCCTTTGACTTTATGAGCTCACATTTTGTCCAGTTTCTTCTTTTATTTTGTTATGCATATATTTTTTAAGCAATTCACCCCCAAGCAAGGCGGGGGTGTCACTAGTACGCAAGGGGCTACAGAGAGTGTAAGTAAGGAAAAAGACTAGCCATGGGAGGGAGGTGAGGAAAGGATAAAAAGAAGAACGGGGATAAAGACAACAGAAGATGTCGATTGGCATTACATTTGTTATGGTCCGGTTCCTTGTACCACGGTGATAGTCCAAGGTAGAACCAATAAAGAAAAACTCGAACACAGGTATGGAATAACACAGATATATACAGAGAAGTAGAAATGTTAGTATGAACAATCAGGTTTAATAGAGAGAACAATGTAGTCTCGACCAGTATCACTATTCCAATGTCTTGTAGTAATTGTCTGAACGCAACTCTGTTTCGGACTGCCTGTGACTCGACTCTTGACTCTTAACTACTGACTCCACTGGAACTACTGACTCACGATATTGAGTCACCCCCCACGAGGGTGTCATGTGGCACAAGGCCTTTTTAACGTGGGCATTCCCGAGCCATTAGGCTCGGCAAAAAATAACCCATTTGAACCCGTATAAACGGGTTCAGGGCCGGCGCCACCTCCCCGAAGGAGACTCCGCCCTTCAGCATAGCCTCCTTCGGGTTCCTCCCGCCTGTAGGAAGAGAGTTCAAACCGATCAGTCTGTTCAAAAGTGAACTACTGACTCACGATATTGAGTCTCCCCCCCACTGGGGCAACATGTGACACAAGGTCGGTTTTTTATTGTGGGATTCCCGAGCCCGTGGGCTCGGCCCAAAAATATGCCCGTTTGTACCCGCATCAACGGGTTCAGGGCCGGTTTTACCTCCCCGAAGGAGACTCCGCCCTTCGGCATAGCCTCCTTCGGGTTCCTCCCGCCTGTAGGAAGAGAGTTCAAACCGATCAGTCTGTTCAAAAGTGAACTACTGACTCACTTCTTGCCTACTCCTGAGGCGCAGTATTTATTAATTATGGAATAGTTCATTATTATTATTACGGGTAAGATCCCATAACAACATTGAATTTTTTTAAGATTATAATTATTATGGAAGCAAGTAAGGGGAAGGGAATTCCACTGTCGGGAAGTTCGAGAGAAGAGGCAGTTACATTTAACTATTTTTGCAGTCAAAGGGTGAGACAGAGATGCCAACCTAGTAGCACGCTTAAATTCATTCAGTCGAAGCACCAGTGAAAATAGCTCGTCAGAGCAGTTGCCATGAAAATATTTATAGGAGATACAAAGGGAAGCCACATTACGCTGGTGTGAAAGTGACTGGAGTCAAGACCCAAAGTCAGAACCGATCACATTGCATATCCGTCTTTTGTCGAGAATCTCGAGATGAACAGCGGGGGCACCAGACCATATATGGCAATAGTATTCAATACATGGACGAATATCTGCGTTGTTAATTCTTTCTGTTTCCGGACACTTTTCATTGAGCCATTTCTCTTTAGCTTGCTTACATTTGTTTCTAATTTCTGTTTAGTTGTCTGTATTGTACTCTTTACAATATGGTAAACAACTCTTTTTTAATGCCATATTACTTCAAAAGCTCGGTGATCGTGACTCTTCGTGGTTTGTTATGAATTACTTTGACTTCTTCGGAAAGATAGCGAAGTAGTTTTTCAGGGTCTTCTTCACATTTTGGAATTTAGAGTTTTACTTCTGTATGTTTAGCGGCATATCGACACCTTATGGGTCATCTAATGCTAAAATTTAATTTTCTTGGGAGCATTAGTACTTTCTTTTACAAAAATGTATGCCTTGTAATTTCTTATTTCAAAAATGTATTGTTGGTAATATTTCTTTTACAAAAATGTATTGCTGGTAATTTTTCTTCTACAAAAATGTATTGCTGGTAATTTTTCTTCGACAAAAATGCATTGCTGGTAATTTTTCTTCTACAAAAATGTATTGTTGGTAATTTTCTTTTACAAAAATATATTGCTGATAATTTTTCTTCTACAAAAATGTATTGCTGATGCTATCTTTTTTCTTCGTACTAAAATTGTATTGCTGGTAATATTTTTTTTAAAACTAGTACTCTATTTTTATAAAAATGTATTTCTGGTTATTTTTTTCTTACAAAATGTAGTGCTGGTAATTCCTCTACTATGAAAATGTATTGCTGGCACTTTAACTATAAAAAATATAATTTTATACTTTCATAGTGTTTTGACACCAGTTTGGCGATAACTGTTTGCCCATAGATGAAACCCTAACAGGTGCTGCCACCCGGATCAGGGTGAACCTGGGAACAACAGTAATTAAGAACTGGTTCTACGTTCTTCAAAACGTTCT